GGACTCTGGATTTTTACTAAGAAAACTCGCCTGAACCATAATCGGAATTTAAATTATTTAGTAGACTTAAAGTATGGAAAGCCAGTTGTCACAGTGCATAGATCGAAAATGAATCATATTAAACATGTAATATTGCAGCCAGTTTCTGGGTGAACGTGATGCCGATGATTTTCTCCCTTGGTTGATCCGGTAGTTGTGTCAAGATTGGAGGGGATTTATCAATGTGGATAACGGAGTTCCTAGTTGTGTTTATTCAAGTGTTCCAGGGTACAGTGTTAGGGTGACTTTGTAGTGGTATTGGACAATAGCCACACAATCCACAAAGCTGTGAACACGAGACTACTCAGAAAATAGATATTCAATATTTAACACGGAGAAATACCTAACAATAAAGAAGGCGCGAACAATGAATTGAATGGACTGGAGTTGAACGAGGGGCATGGCTCGGCCATGCAGGCGTGGTCTCTGCTGAATGTTACCTTATATCTTCTATTCATATTAAATATATTGTTCTTTCTCTAGCCTAACCTTGTTCTACATCATGTATTGGTAATTGATACGATACAGTGAGTTGGTGTAGTCGATGGTGTGACTTCCACGTAAGATCTTATAGATTAGGCAGTTATATCATGACAAATCTACAAATTTAGGATTAGGTCTATTATTAGAGCAGTACTAATATCATAGTAGACCATAATTCTACATTGGTAAGCCCGACTAGAGAAACGCAACCTATTATTGTTAATCTTATTTCCATTCTAAATTTCTTGATCTATTTTGTATTTATGTTAACCCAATATTCTAACAGTCCTGATTAATGCTCACATGTATTATCGTAATGTTATATTGATTAGTTCTCATGACATACTAGCTCAATCGATAATAAAAACTGGTCGTCTATATTAACTAATTAGCTTTGATGGTTCGTTAACAAGCTTTAATAGCATTTACATGCTTCAGCGACATAGACTTGTTTAAGCATCAAGCTCTAGCAAATATGACCTGTAAATAACGCAAATATACATTGACTAACAATGCAGCAAGGACTAAATAGTTACCTGGATCTAATATTCAGTGTTCCTTATCTTATCACCTCATCCTGTTTTAAACTATGCACTATCCTGTAATATCTTTTCTTCCGACCACTGCCTGCCTAATTTCAAATTTTCGAGTTCCATTGCCAAACAACAAGGATGACACTTCTCTAAAAACATACGGTGAGTTTCAGCCATAAGTTTTCTGCAATCATAAGGTCATTTTAGATGGCTCGTTCAATGGTGCCGCACAATTATCTGGATTCATTCGGTTGTTCTGATCCGAGCGAGTGGCAAAAACGTCAACAGCATCAAGCACCCTGGAATTAATTGCCATACTGCATGTTTTATTCTGGATACTTTTGGATCATTACTACTCCTCACGAATGGCGTTATATATGTCGTCCACTGAATAATCTAATTTTCAAAAATAACCCAGGCGAGTTCAACTATTTTACTTAAATGATTTTTTGTACTTAACATGTATATGTTTTCCAGTTGCTTTTGCCATATATTTGTAAGTGTCCCTAGGCTAAATGCAGTAACTTCTTATGGAATGTTTATAACGCATCATATTCCTGCCTGAAGTTTCATAAGCAGTCTTAACTTTAAAATTATTTTCTGGTCATGTTCATTATTTTCAAATTGTCATATACGTCAACAACCTGCATGTTAACCTGGCCCATACATACGTTTTACTATATCTTCATGTCTTCTAAATTTAGAAATCATCTGAATCGCCTTTAACATTTATCGATAAACCCATAGTCGTTGTTGCTAATCGTATTTGGGTTTATAGATTGGTTTATCATATTAGCAGCCTAAAATGCGAACATAGTTTAGATAATAAGATTAAAAATTTAGGTACTATCAACTACACTAGTAAAATAACTAAATCCTCAGGTAGCTGTTTGCTAAACAAACGTTTAAAGTCAAAACTCAGCCTACTAGAATTAACACTAAACGAATATTTCTGAATTGAAATTTATAATATAATTAGGCGTCTCGGATTATGTAACGTTACAAATTTCTGATAATTTCGAATCATCTAAAGCAACAATACCTATTTTTCCACTGACTAATCCTCAATCAACACTATAACTAGTTAAACATAGTAGCTTCAGGATATCGTCATAAAGCATTGTCATGACTTGACAATCACGTAATATGATTGATAAAATTAATGAAACTATTAACAAAATCGGTCAGCAAATTGACTTAAAATTATCACTAGTGTTGTTTTTCTTTTATCTTCATTCACTACAGATGATTACAGTATGTTTCTCTATCAGTTGCTCATTCAGTAAATATCTCAAAACCTTGTCAGTCTAATTGATGGTTTAGCGACACAATCATGCATGCAAATAATCAGTATAAGCAGTCGAGCAAATCTCCTGCAAACTGAAAACATCAATGTCGAATTTACCCCAACACTGACTAAGGTTCAAGCCATTATCATAGACATGAGTTGGGAGTGTACTCCCCCTGGTTACAACTTATGTTCTCCCTGATAATCACATGAGCATCACTCACTATTAATCATCTTGTAAAAACTTATTTAGCCAAATACATCTTGCAGCACCTAGTAATGTGACACATAAGCTGATTTCAATAACTTATAACCACTATATCTCAATTAAATCGTATTCCGCCTTATGATAAACTGCATACTTGCAACTAACTTGTATGCGTCATCAGCCGTCAGGTATAAATATGTATAAATAGTCTATGGTGACGCAGAACATTGAGTCTAGAGCATGTCTCTTACGAATACACTCATGTTTAACGATTTGTTCTTAGCTATCTGTCCAAAACTCATATAATTATCACTTACGTATTTAAATTTTGTTTTGATAACCATTCATGTGTATTAGTAGTATTACTAAATTCTATCACGGTCAAGTAAAAATGAGGTTGAGAAAATCTCCCCGTAACTAAATAAACCGTATCAAACTAACTGGAACACTAGTTGGAATTCTCCACGGTAATACTTTTGTTCCTTCAGTTAGCCTACTAATACAGATGCAATTGGAATTCAACTCATATGGACAACTTACCGGCATAATCGTTATTTGATTTTATAATTTAAACCAAAACTAATACCAATATTAACATTTCTACAATATTCATTGCTTTAATATTTCTAAACACAAAATAATTACTACCTATACGTTAAGTTATTAACCAACGGCTATTAACACGCATCGTTTTATTATTATTATTGTAATCCATTTTTTATAGCTCAAATAATCTTCACCCAAATTTTCATTTCAAGCGTTTAAGCATGAAGGCAGATATTTTAAAATTATTACATGTATTTCCCGACCAGATGCTGCTGCCTTCTTTTTGATTTATCTTTCAGCTTACCAATACCCGGAGGATTCTTATTATCCTTGGTAACCTCCGGCGCGCGACGATCCCATCCAATTTGGTATCGAACCAACATCACGTTGATTCTGGTGGGAGAGTAGTGTAGTGGCATTGGACAATAGCCACACAATCCACAAAGCTGTGAACACGAGACTACTCAGAAAATAGATATTCAATATTTAACGCGGAGAAATACCTAACAATGGAGAAGGCGCGAACAATGAATTGAATGGACTGGAGTTGATCGAGGGCATGGCTCGGCCATGCAGGCGTGGTCCATCTGAATGTTACCTTATATCTTCTATTCATATTAAATATATTGTTCTTTCTCTAGCCTAACCTTGTTCTACATCATGTATTGGTAATTGATACGATACAGTGAGTTGGTGTAGTCGATGGTGTGACTTCCACGTAAGATCTTATAGATTAGGCAGTTATATCATGACAAATCTACAAATTTAGGATTAGGTCTATTATTAGAGCAGTACTAATATCATAGTAAACCATAATTCTACAACTTGTTCCTACTGTATGTATATGATATTCCTCGTCTCATATCATCGTCGGTCTTGGTATATGCCTACGACGTCAGGATGTGGGAAGCGATAAAATGTAAAAGTTATAGTTTACAGCTCCGAAATGACGTAGTGAAATTACATGAAAGGTCTCAAACCTGTCAGTTGCCGATAAATACTTCCAAGTTCATTGTGATGCACATTAATCTACGAGTTACGGACCTTAATCATGACGACGCTAAAATCTTTCTGATTTGGTATACAGTATTCGTGCGTCCTAAACTGGAGTACTACATAAGAGTGACTAACCCTTACTTAAAAAAAGACAGTGGGCCTTTGTCAAAGGTTCACAAAATAGCAAATAAACTGATATCCGAAAAGCGAAGCCCCCGTATGGTGCCCGACTGGCTAGACTCGTCCTAATGACATTGTCATATAAAAGAACTAGAGGCCACTTGGCTGCAGTTTTCAAATTACTTAGTGATAAGTTTGCACTTTATATGCCAGCATTTTCCTTGTTTCCCAAAACAAATAATTTACGAGAGCACTCCCAAAAAGTTCACAAACACGGGGTGATTTTGAACTTTCCCATCGAATCATCAAGGAGTGGAATTCATCAAGTAAACACTTGGTTGAATCCACATCTGTCTACTCTTTCAAAAGAAAGTCGGATCAACTGAGAGACCATTTGTGCTAGGACGAACACAGACCACCTATCACCTTGTTCTTTCCAGATGGAAATTCAAACCATTTATTTACTTATTTCTTGAAAGGATCATCTTCTCATAGCGCTAATATTATCGCCTTACTATTTTTCACATGATAACAAACCAACCTCCTACCTGGTAATTTGATAGTTGCTGTTATATGAAATCCCCACTGCCGTGAAACAAACCCATTATTCCTAATTACAAAATATACAAATCCACAAATAACTACCTAGCTGACTAAGATTAATGCAGTCTAATGGCTAGACCATCGTCTGTTGAAAATAAACACACACCTGGAGTTGCAATGAATAGAAAGAAACAAAAGCAAAAAGATCAATCGGTTTTTCAAGCTCATTGCAAAGATATTGAATATTGAATTGTTCAGATGTATTGTTTAAGACTACTTTCTAAACAACTCTCTTTCAAGACATGACGACACCCAATGAGCTGGCACAGCTTGATGTTGTTAGTAATGGAGAAACATTTCATTTGGAGGGTCATCTGTGTTCCCTTTCTGCCTTTTCCCATGTTCCTACACATCGGGATTTGCCGAAAGACAGAACATATTTTAACTCTTCTGAGAAGGTATATTTAATGTTTAGAACAGGGAAATCTTATAAAATCATATTTAGTGTCTTATCAGATGTGAAATCACTAATTTATGAACTAGACGCTTTGAAGGCCTTAAACAGCTTAGCTAAGATGCCACTTGATATGTTGGTTATTCATGATGAATTCTAATCAACAGTATTGAGTCATAAATATATGATGACCAAAATTGATATTTTAGACTTCTCTCTATTTTCATTATCGACAGTTTATATATGTTTATAGCTTTGTTTTCATTTAATACCCAAACTACTTACGTATTAAAGTTTGGGCATTATATTCAAATTCACATAACATGCACTCTATGTTTGCTTAGAAGTGGTTCACCGAAACAACTTGCTTATTCTTAACCTGGTCTCCTAGTTTGATGGCAATGTTTCATTATGTGTCAAGTATTGTGTTTTTGGCCAACAACTTCTTCAGTAATAAGGATAGTAGGTTGATGAACCTGTATTAATCCTGACTCACTGCTTTCCAGTGAAGGTCCAGCTTCTCCTTGAAAGTATTCACTGATGAGGCTGATACCACTTGTTCGGGTAAGGCGTTCCAATCATTGACTACTCGATGAGAAAAACGGGACCCCACTTTAAGTTTATTAGATCTTGGTTTATGAACCTTCTTGCTATGACCTCGGAGATTATTAGTCCTGGAGGGAGCAAAAAGATAAGACATATTAACACCCAAATCATAATTAAAGATACGAAATGCCAGTATAAAGTCACCTCGTGTCCTACGATACGACAAGGGGAAAAGATTTAGGCGTTTTAAACGCTCATCATAAGGGAGTCTAGAAAGACCCTTCACTAATTTCGTTCCCACAAGCTGGACACGCTCAAGGGAGTTAGTATCCTTTACCAGACACGGGTTAACTGCTTGAATACAGCACTCTAAGTGTGGTCTTACATAGGTGGGATATAAAATTCGAAACGCTTCCTCGTCAAAAGATTTGAACGCTTGGCGAAGTGACCATAACGCACGAAAACCTTTGACAGCGGCTGCTTTGCAATGCTCAGTTGTTTTTAAATCATGACTTAATACTACTCCTAAGTCTTTATGCTCTTGAACGCATGGAAGCGGTTTACCATCAATAGTGTAATTACTTTTTGGATCGAACTGGTTAACTTGTTTTATTGTTCCATCAGTGGTTCTATAAAAACACGGGTGGTCTGAGATGATGTAACACATCCCACGAATTTATGCAATGTGATAATATCCACTCTTTTCGAACTCTATTTTTTATTATTAGTTTCCGCACTATCATAGATGCTATTATTTTTATAATGTACTGGCTCAAAGTACAGCATTATAAACTAACCCTTATTTTCCGCAAGTCCCAAATCGTTCGTGATTGTCTGTAGATTTAACAAAACTGCTCCTATAGTAAACATTTTTGACATTAACCAACTGTGGCCCTAGGAGGTTATGCTGAACGGTAACACTCATTGAGTAGCATATAGTCTTACACAAATTGAATTTATCCATCGAAACAATATTCAGTGTACTTTACAAGCGAGTTGGTCAGGCTTAGAAAAGAAGTAGTAACAACGCTTGCTAAGTTATTTTAACTCCTTTTTGCTTCAAGTTTCACATTGAGATTAAAAAATTGAAACTGTTATATCCGGACGTGAATAACTGAATGGCTACGGTTAGAAATTATTTCTGAAATATTGTATATATACTCTTATTGTATAACCGTTAAGAAACTAAACTACATACACTGATATTCCTCTTATTATAAGCTTTTATTTTGACTCGTTGGTTACCGTTATATGATTTACTAATCTCAAGTTATCCTCAATCAATTAGTCACATTTTCTCATAATCACAGCCACTTTTGGCTTGATCGTGTACAAATGTTATTTTCTATTTTGTGGTGTGATTTTGCCTGTATATAAACGAAGTGCGTCTGAAATATATGATTCGTATCTTGAAGGATGAGATGAGCGGTCTGAACTTAACAGGCAGTGTTAAGAGGAAAAAGGACCAATCGGAACTCTAGACTCCATGTACTGGTGTATGCGTCATTAGTTGGATAGTATAAGTCATCATATATAAATGGGCAATCGTATTTTGCGATAGTCATATAGCTAAGGGCATAAGATAAACCATAATTTAAAAATCAAATCGTGTCATTTTATTACATGAGTGTTCAATAAAAGTAATTTTGGAAGATGATTATTATTTTAGAAACAAGGAAATCCTTGCATATATGATTCAATCTTTTCTAAAGAGGATGATTTCGATCCAAAGCTTCATCGCAGTGATCGCAGGCATGATAAACTTATTGGATTGGAAATAAACCAAGAAGTGAGTTAAATACTACATATTTTTTTATGACGATATGTCCCAATATTGACTTCCACATTATAATACATAATTTTGTTTGTGAGAAATTTCCGAACAAATGTCTGGCTGTTAGCGTTTATTGTGAAACATGCAGCCAGAAGTCAAAAAATTGAATGTTGCATCTTATTCAATGACTTATTACTTCACAGCTGACTTGAAGTCAAAATATGGAGGCTCATTACCATTATATTTTCCTTCGAGTATTGTAATGACACATTTTGAAGATATTCACAAACAATATTTTTGTTTAGGTTGTATTGATGCCATTAATAACTTCAGAGGAACAACTGAATGCGTCTGATTTACCGATGGATTGGACTTTGGAATAATTTCAAATGTGACCAGAGATAATCTTTAAACATCCGATTGCATATTTCACAGCTAAATAAAGTACCACGATCTTAAGTCCCAAACATTATAGGACTGAGACCGGCTGTTTATGTTCTATAAAATATATATTACGGGAAATCAGCTCAATGTGGTACATTATTTTCAATCTAAACTTACCTTTTATCTCAAGTGCATAAAAATTAGTTTTGTTTCTAGAATCTCGGAGTTAACGAAATACGTTTTGAAACATGATTTTCTTCTGTAATTACATACCAGATCAACTACACAATGTCACAAATTGACTGAGATTGAAAATCTAAATCACTATATTCTGAGTTATTTATCGTGACCACAACAAGACCTGAAGATGTGTAGTAGGCCATGGCACACCATATAACTGCTTTTTAACAGTTTGAGAGTTCTTAGCAGTCCGCAATCACGAACAAATATTTAATAGAGCCTGTAACTTCGGAGTTCTTACGGCGCTAAATTGAAACCGATCACTCAAAGATTTCGCCTTTAGTCGGTGTCTTCGTGTTGCACAAAATTTCAAACGCTACAGATGGACGACTTGCTCCCAGGCTGTTTAAAGACATTGCCAATCACGAAGAATTTCGTAGATGTAAAGGTTACTGTTGCGAAATTCTAACGGGAGCTATTATGATTAGTATTATCACACAGAGGGACAGGGTATATAGTGTTACTATGAAAATACACACATTGAATATAGTTCACATAAACCAATACGGGAAACACAATTGTTACATTAAACAAAAGTTCAGATCTTCCAAACCAAAGTTAATACGAGATTAATGTAAGAAAATACTGACCTCAGAATATCACACTAAACGAAGCTCATTACCTGTCTCCCTAGCCGAGATTAGTAGTGAGCTGATACAAAAAATCACTAAGCCAAATAATTTCATCTTCCTATGTCGTCATATCTTAAAGCCCAATAACATTCATAACACAAAGGTGGATATCTATTGTTAAATGCTTTTATCACATTCCTGTATTTACCTGATGATTTATAGTGTGAGCATATTATTGAGTTCACTTCTTTCGGCTGTAGGAATTATAGATTATAAATTCATAGGTCAATTATCATCACTGATCACTTTCTGATGGCTTAATTTATTCATTCGAACAACTAGCCAGTTTTATCAACTTCTGAAAATCTTCTCCATAATTAAAACATCATTTCTAATTGTTTTTTCTATAATTATCAATATAGGGTTTTGGAGATTATTAAGTTTTTGATTGATGTTAGACCACCATTAAAAACCTAGAAGCAGTGAGCGGCCGTTTAATCTTATTGTGTAACTCCTGAGCAGGGCGCATCCACGATCCCGCTAGCGAGATTTAACCCGAGGACATTTGGTTTCTCACGTGAACGCTTAATTATCGAGACCACTGAGCCAGCATCCAGTAGTGTTAATGTCTAATGTCAACCAATCCATCAAATTTTACGACCATCTTTCATTGTACTCAGGTAGATACCTGTCTCTCCTCGACACGAATTAGCTCCACTGGTCACAACTTCTCACTAGAATTCGGAGAATTCCCACACGAACCTAGCCACTGATGAGCACATGAACGAAACGGTCGTCCAGTGCTTCCAGGTTTTCAATAGTGGTCTAATATCAATCGATTCATGATCTCCATCTTCTATAATGACTGATTTTATTTATTGAACTTATTCAATTAAAATTAATTCATTTCATTATAGGAGAAAACTAAAAATATACCAACACTTTCATCATCAATATATGGACATCGTTTAAATAAAAATATTGAAAATAATGATCGTAAACATGTTCGAATTATGCTAGTGGAAAGTGAATTTTATCGTCGTAATGGAATTGATTTATTATAATAAATAATACACTTCATATCCAAATACAATTATTTTTGTAGACATAATGCATAGAAACAACTCAATTGTGTATTAACCAATCTCTTTAGTATGTATAAAATTGTTTTCTTCTTTGTTTTGCCAGTGATTTTTTTTTGATTTTACATAATATGAATTTGTTTAATTAAACTAGTTAAAAAGTTATCAATAAAAAATGTTGATTGAGATCATGAACTGTTTGATGTTAGATCGTATTTGAAAACCTGGAAGCAATGGACGGCCGTTTCACTCTATTGTGGGATTTCTCAGCAGTGCGCAATCACGATCCCGCTAGTGAGATTCGACTCGACGACATTTGGTTTCGTACGCGAACGCTTAACATCGAGAACACTGAGCCAGCATCCAGTGGTGTTAATGTTTAACCTCAACCAATTCATGAAATTGCGCAACTATCTTTCATTGTACTGAGGAAGATACCTGTTTCTACTTGACATAAGTTAACTCATTTATTTGGGGTCCCATCAGCTGATTACAATCTATAAAATTAAAAAAAAACCTAGTTACAAATATATTGAGATTACTTTCGTAAATGAGCTCATTTTGAGGGTTAGTTTGAATACTTAACAGTAAAATGTGGTAAGGATGCATGCAAATCTAAGAAGCTAAAAGAAATAAAATGAATTCATTTTATTCTGCTCGAATTGTTGTTCTTGCTGTCTATTAAATATGAAGATAAAAATAGCTTCTCAGTATGAATGAGTGTAGGTAACAATTATGTTCAAAACGGAAATCTTCAATTTTGTCTAGATATATGTCAACGTTTAAAGAAACAGCCATACAAAAATGATTCGTCGAATAAGCAAAAGCATCAGACATACAGTTTTCATACAGTAGTTCATATAATACAACAGTTTTCTAAAAAAACTGTCTTGACTTTCGTCCGACAACCTAGCTCTGACTTCTTTCCAGAAATGATTAATAGAAACAGATTATCAGGGCGAAATAAGGTTAAATAGGATTTATATATATTAATTGAAGAAACATTCAACACAGAAATCTTAGAACTATAACTCATATTTAGCTAGTCCCGATTTGAGTTTGATAAACCATTTTAAATCATATCGTTACTGATAGCAGATTATTACCGATTAAGTGACTGCTTTGCTATATCGCAAACTGAATTTATACAGCTAATAGAGACTATTTGTAAGGGTTTGTAATTTGATACCCGTTATATAAGTTAATGACTACTCGTATTCAGAAGCTGAGTGAATAGCACACTGACCTTTGCTATGACAGGTAATGGATTGAATCTCCTTGTGATCATCAAAACTAGGATCCAGATACATCCACCTAACGAGTCTCAAATAGGACGGAATGTGTGTCCTGATTCTCGTCTTTAGTTGGGATCCAACTTCACAAAAATACGGAAGATTGTCGATATTATTTTTGTGAAACTTAAAAGTTTCATGGGTCACATTCAGGCATTAGTTGATAATATAAAGGAAAAATTAAATAGCCACCCAATGTCTTAAGATTCCCGGTAGATCCGTAGTATATTTTGATTCCTTTTTTAAGATTGTATAGTCTAAATCTGAGCAAAAACCCTTCCCATGAAATACAAATTAAATCATTTGTTCTCATATCGCTTGTTCTGACCACCTAAAACTGATGATTTTAGTTGACGCTAACAAACAGCTGTGCTGTGATTATCTTGTTCAAAGTACACGAATCGATCCAGAAGCCTTCTGCGATAGAAAGGATAACAATAATGAATTTTTTCTTAGTTGTCAGTATTTCAGCTCGTTTGTGATAAGAGTTGGATAAGAATCCCCAACTACAATGAATGATCAACTCGCTATATCACGAATCTATCGACATTGGAAATATGCACAAATGAATTGAAGTTCAGTGGTCTAAATGGCACGATTGGGTCTTTGAGTACTGACGCCTATCGCTTTTATTTCTATTAAGACCGTGTTCACACTAGAACAAGATAGTTTTTTCACTGGTTGATTAATTAGGGTCAGTTTATGATGAAAACCATATTCAGATTGTAACTGATCTTTGCATCCATGTGTCATGTTATGAATGTAACATAACGGAAGTAAGTGTGTTCAATGTCATACACTTAAACAACACGTACAATCACTAAATGATAAATGTCGAAAATCAACAGAATATTTTGGTTACTGTCAACATTGTTTTGCAGCGCCAAATTCACCATCACACTGCCAAGAATTGTTGTTTGCAATTATAACCAAATCATGAATAGTTTGGGTTTCTTCCGCTGAAATTATTATTCATTTACGAAAGTGTAGACTGTTAATCATTCAACAGTAATTGACTCATTATGTTTAGTGTGCAGACATTCAGGTCCACATCTACCTGACGAATAAAAAACGTTTTGCCTATTTTGATCGCTAAATCTATATACCGGCAACGGTACAATGTGTTAGTTAAATGGGCATTTTGTGATTGTTCGGAAGTTACAATCCCAGATTCAACGATGATGGAGTCGTCTGACAGGATTTATTTCATTAAACATAAATTCAGATGTAAAAATGCAAATTTAGATATCTAATCAAGACAGGTTTTGTTACTTGAATTTGAACGTATCAAATCAAGGCAATGCACCATTGGTAAACAGTCCACAAATCATTACAAGTAACAAAATGTTTGTTCGTGAAAATATGAGCACACATTTTGACCTACATTAAAAACCCCTCACTTAGATTAAACTATTGCTAATCATATCCAATATAATTTTGACCAATAGAGGCCTTGAAATTTCAACCAACGGTGGATAAGTGTCAGTCTTTAGAGTACAACAGCTAAAAGTATATCGCATTACGATGAGTTGGTCTTTCACGATGATTGGTCAACAATGATCATATGATTTTATGAAACATGATGTTTTTAGTGATCACTTTGGATTGTCTAATAAGAAACAAACAAACAAACACTTGAAAATTGATATAAACACGACAAGGTCTACACCAATTATTAACGTTGTGAACAAGAAGATGAGGTGAGTAGTGACTGTACAGTTAAAGCAAATGAGTGTGATATATGAACTTCAATTTGTTTCAACGAAATAATAAGGCTGTCTATTTTTATCTGAACCATTCCAGACATAACTTTGCAACTGGCCAGTTTATACTGATCTATTCGATCATCGTATTAATTTATAAATTCTTCGACTGTCATGAAATTTGCACAAAACCTGAATTACGAGATTACAAAAAAGTAATTTTTGAAAGTGATGCATATGAATATGTAAGTAATCAGTCAGGTTCCAATACACATATTCAGTCTCATCATTATTATTATTCCCAGACAATCCGCTCTAATCAGTCTCTTCCAGTTATTCGAGACAGGTTTGAAACGTTGAATTATGATAAAGTGAGTTGACTAAATTTTACAATCGAGGTACTAATCCATATGTTTGCATATCATCAGGAAATTTATGCGAAATTCCCGTTTACTATTTACGGCGCTACAGTCATCAAATTCCAATTACGCGCTTCAGGTAAGAGTATCATTTTCATCGAACTAAAATTGTTACCGAGTTTTATTTATTCACATTTCATTCCGTGGGCGAGTGTTGCTTTAATTTCTTCAGTAAATCAGTTTTATGCCCCTTCTAGCATTCAAAACATCTACTGATATCTTATTTCGTTCAACTTGTAAACAGTTTCAAGCCTTATGGAAATTGAATTACGGTCCACGGAGCTCATTTTGTCTCCAGTTAATCTAAAAAGTCTTTAATTCATTCTCTACAGATTGTCAATTAAATTTCATGTTTTCATTCGATAAATACAGGTACAATTGATATGTACGATCAAAAGTTTTTAGGAGAAATTATCAATTATATAAAAAGCGATTTTTCGGCAAAATGTGAAATTTTATCTGATCGTGAGTACCTCTATTATCCGATGATAATTTAATTTTGCCCTTCATTTCTCACTTTTATTTTGCATAAATGATTCAATATTTGACCTGGTTAATTCATGAGGGCTGACCAGTACACAGTCATTACTTTGCTTGTAGGATTTGTTGCCCGAAAATGTGTTCACAACACATATTCATTACTGTCAAGTGAAAACGATGGTTCACTTCGAAATAAACGCAAATTGATTGAGTAGAAATGATAAATCGAACGAATCCAACTAAACACATTCACAACAATAAACGATGTTGTATGAGAAACCATTTTAGATTATTAAATCCCATGAACTACCAATTTATAATTAATGACGTCCAAATGTTTTCTTTAAGTTACTTCATAAATAATGAATGTCTCTTAGTCACTATCTGTGGACCACTGTGTGCATTCATCACATTTTTGACTATCATATTCATATGGATCTACAACAGCCACCAGTAATAATAATAATGACAGATGATAAAAAATTACCACGAACAATGCACTGGTATAACATGATTGATTCGACCCGGAACAACTAGGTCTATTAGATTGTCTAAAGCTTTTAAAATCAACGTTTCGGAAGTAGAATATTCTTCTCAGTTGGTTGAATTGAAACATTCATCATATCGTTGTAATAATTATGAGTCTCTATGCAACTCCTATTTGATTGAACCGGTTTAATTAAATCTTGAAAGAAAGATGATAACTCGTGTCTAAACCCATTCTATATGGATGTTCATTATACATGTATATAAAAACACAAATATTTTTACTTTCATCATTTCAGAGGACTTATTAACCGTCAGACAATTCATTTCTCCAGGAGCTGATGGTAAAAGTAAGTATCCATAAAATGATTATTTGATTACACACGAAATATTTAAACACTTACACCATCATTCGCAGTACTTGTTTACACATTTTCAGTTCATTTTACATCATTGAATTCTTTTCAAAAACTGACAGAGGTAATAAAGTGTAACCATCCCAGAAAATTAGGAAGAGGGAATTATGTATGTGGAATTCATCGATTATTTGATCACATTGATTGAGACCTGAACGACAGTTAACATAATCAGGAGCATACTAGATTTGATGTACAATCAATAGATCCGTATGAATAAATTAGGTCATAAACACATTTTACTTGTGGATAAACGAATGCAGAGATACATCTTCGTCAATAGGCTTCAATGCTGCTTGATCAGAAGTCTGTATTCTGAAATTAGTAAACTTGTGTTACTCATCACATGGTCATTCATAACAATTATTCATTCAAATTAAAAAACCATCAAG